TATACATTCTAAGAGTATTACTATTTGTGAAACTCAAAATGCTGCAATTCTTAATAAAAGTGCTGTTATTTTATGGAATCAATTTCAAATTCTAATAAAAGATTTAAGAGGAATTTCTATTCAAATAAGTAAATTACACTCTATCCAACCAGTTCAAATAAAAGAATCAAAAATATTTCAACAAATTCTTTTAGCAAAACAACAAGAAGAAAAATATAAAAAAATAAAACAAAATGAAAAGAATAAATTTATTGAATTACCAAGTGCATCTCAAATTGATATATCTGTTTTAAATGCACTTCCAAATGATGTTAAAAATGAACTTATTCAACATTATTCAAAATATTATAACATTTATAATAATCCAAAAATTTCATTTGCTAATGATGAAATTATTATAGAAAAATTAGATGAAAGAATTGAAGAAATTGAATTATTCGAAATAGAAAATACTAAAGAGTTAATTAATATTTTAATCACTTATTTAAAATCAAGAAAAGAAATTAATTTCTTTCATATTGAAATAATACTACAATATCTTAAAGTATTATTAAAACATCAATGTTATAAAGAATTTCAAATAATTATTAAAACAGTTTTATTATCATTAGAACATCCTCGTTTCAATGACTTTAAAGAAATCTTAGAACATTATGCAGAAAAAATGTATAATGACTCATTCTCAAAATTTTTACACTCATTTTCTCATCAATAAATTAAATATTTTTCATTCTTTAAATACAAATATTTATAACTATATCCCCTTCTTTATAATTATGACTTCTTTTCTTAAAATCTTTAATAATTATTAATTAAATCATATTTGAATTGAATTAAATTCTTTATTCTTTTAATTTTTTTAAATTGATTTCTTTTTTTTTTATATCAGAAAAATATAAGGAAATTTTCTATTGAAAATTCTATAAGAGAAAGAAATGAACTAAAAATTTACTTCACATTCTAAATGGATCAAAACATCTTGTGTACTTACATGAATGACTTGTCAAAAGAAATAAAAGATAAAGACATACTTTCTACTATAAAATCAATTAAAAGTTGTTTACTAACAATAAAACCATTATCAGATACTTTACAACAACTGTTTCAAATATTACTTCCTCAAATCATTCGTTTTAAGTTGACACCTAAACTTACAAATGTTTTATTACCAATTATTGATCCATTATTTCTTTCAAATCAAACTATGAGATTATTCTTATCTTCTATTTTCACTTCTTTTCTACCTCAACCAATTCAATCAATTCTTAATTGTTGTAGAATAGTTTTTTTAACATCAAAATTTCAAATAGAAAATACGTATCACTGTAAAGCTATTCATTTTATTATTGATGCTCATGTTTTATCTTCATATTATCAAACTAACTCATCACAATTTTATCCTTTACGTCTTGTCCGTGATTACATTGCTACATTAATTATTGAATCACATTCTCCATCAGTTACTTCTCCTTTATTACAAAGTTCTCCATCAATTTCTCCAATACTTGCTCCATCACCATCACCAGCAATAAATTCTAGTTTAGATATAAATCAACTTATTTCTTTCTCATCACCAAATTCAACTCTGTCTTCAAATCCTCATTACTCAAATACTCCTTCTCTTCAACCTTCATTTCTTATCCAACAAAAGTATCCTTCAAGAAGTCATACTTCTTGGAGTACTCTAAACATTTCACCTACACCAGTAAAGAATGAAAACGATTCATTAAAACAAAGTAGACAACAAGCTGTATTACTTGAACTACTTCAGTGTGCATCAACTAATTGGTTTAATCAACCATCATTTTCTAAAACAGATTTTAAGAAGGATTATATTCTTTTAGAAGAAAAAGGAGGTAAAGGTAATATAAAATGCCAAGAAATTTCAATGGAAATGATACACTCTCTTCTATCTGTATGTCTTCCCAATGTATTAAATAACGCTATTAGACATCAATTACTTCAGATGTTTTCAACCACTTGTTTTATTGGAGGGAGTATTAGTGGTCTTGCTGTTCAAATATTAAATCAATTAATTATTCGACATGGAAGTCATATGAAGAGTGAATGTAGAACAATTATTAACAATTATATTAATGAAACAAATAATCCAAACAATAGTATCGTTGCAATTAAATCATTAGTATCATTATCATCTTCAAGTAATGCAATGTATTGTATTTATACAATCTTTGACAGAGATTCTTTAGGGGGTTCAGTATTTAAATCAATTGTTAATTGTTTTCTTAATGGATTTAAAAATGATATCATTAAAAAGTATTGTTCTCAAGGTATCGTTCAATGTATCCGTTCATTTGCACCTTCCCCACCTTTAGAAGTACAACCATCAGTATTATTATCTTCAGCTAAAATGATAGAAGAAGCAATTAAAGAAAAATGTCCAACACAAAAACCATTAGTAGTTGGTAATTATTTACATAAAGATTCCACATTAGATAAGAATGGAATTGGATATTATTTAACAAGACATGAAGATGCACTAAATGGCTATTTTTCTATTCTTGATCTTTCTCGATATGATTTTTATGATGCATTATCTATTTCATTGAATGGATTTATATTACCAAATGATAATAAATCAACAACTGAATTTATTAAAGCATTTACTGAAATATATCATGTTACAACAAGTTATTCGTTTGATACAGTAAAAAAATTATGTATGTTACTTCTTCAATTTTCAAGGGATATTTCTGACACTCCTATAATTTCTAATTTTCAAAAATTTAAGGAACTTTCAATAAAAATGAATATCAAAGTACCAACAACAGATTTAATGCAATTATATGATCAATTAGAAGAAACTCCGTTGTTTAAAGAAAATACACAACCACCAACTGAAGATCAATTTGATATGTTTCATAGATGTTTTTCTTTAATTCTCTCAGCTTTACAACAATTATTTATTAATGAATTAGATCCATTTTCTTCAGCACATGCTTTACTTTATTTCTCATCGTTATGCAAAGAAAAAGAAGAATTAAATCAATTGCTATCATTAGTATCTAATTGGCCTTTACAAAAATCTATATCTAGTAATTATCAATCAACATCATTAAAATTACTTCTACAATTTTGTTATTCTTATGGAAGTTCATTTAATGAAGCATGGCAATATCCAATTAAATTATTTGTTCATTTAATAAATATTCAAACTGATCGTATTACTTCTATTCCAAAACACTTTCGATTTAATAGATATATTCCATACAAAACATTTGATTTAACTAATACAACTTCTTATCAGTCAATTGTTTGTCCTGACGATAAGTTATTCTCAGCAGTAATTCATGGAACTTCATTATCACCATCTGGGTTATTATCATATATTAATCAATTGTTAAAAGTGGCATTTGAAATGACAAATTCACAAACACCATCCATCTCTTTATTAAATATGTTACTTTCAGTTATTCATTTTAATATTTATCGTATATTTTATATTTATAATTCATTATCAACAACTTTATTTCCAATATTAAATAGTATATCACTTCATCCACAATCAAAAGTTGCTCAAGTTGCATTGGAAATACTTAATTCAATTTATGATTTATTAATACAAAGAGAAGAATTAGAAAATTTCAATATTACAGAAACATATTATGAAATGTTATTAATTACCATTAGTGATTCTCCTCTTTTATCTGTTCGACAATTAGTTCTTTCATATGTAAAAAAATGTTCTGATTGGAAACATATTTTTCAGATAATATCAACAGCAGCCGAAGATATAGAAATGACTATTGTTAATAAAGGATTTGAGAAATTAGTTGAATATGAAGAATATAAAGATAAATATTTTGATTCATATTTTCCATATTATATAAATGCTTTATCTAAATTTTCTATATGTCCAAATGATAAAGCAGCTAATTACGCAGTTGAAAAATTAGCAAATATTGCTGAAAATGTTAAAGAACTTAAGGTATTAAATAATGATGTAATTAATATTTGGATGCCATGCATTAAAGCACTTGCTAAATCAATGCTCAATACAAACGTTGAAATATCAACAAAAGTTATACAAATTATTTATGAAAAATTACTTACACAACCTACATTAACTGATGATATCAAAATAAGAGCATTACAAATTATTATGAGTTCTACACTAAGTATTGATGAAACATCAAAAGATTGGGTAGCTATCATTGGGATATCGATTGCATTTAGATCATTAGAAACATCAAAATTATATCCATTATTATTACCTGACGTTATTAATTTAATAACACTTTTAATTTTAACGACAAATGAAGCTCTTCAAAAAACTGGTCTTTTTATTTTAAATGAAATTATTCCAAAACTTGTTTCTGAACCTTCATTATTTGTTATTCATTTTACTGATTTAGTAGAATATTTCTATGACCAAATTACAACCTCATTATTATCAATAACAAATATCACTCCATCTTTTACTGATCCTATTCAACCACCAATATTATCAATATGTTCTCAATGTAATAAATCATTACCTGCTTGTGAAATGATTCAATGTGCTCTTTGTGGAATTCCAATATGTTCAGCTCAATGTTTAAAAATACATTCACAACAACCACATAATTTTACTGCACACCAAATTATTAGACATATGTATATTCCAAAACAAAACGATTTAACCAAATCACTTTCAGCGCTAAATGAAATATTATCAATTACAAAAAGTAATATTGAAAAATGCCCAACTCTTCTTATTCCTTTATTATATCAACATATTGAAAGATATTTATCACTAAGACTTCTTTTAACTTCACCAAAAAAACAAATAGATAATATTTTAAAATCATTTGCAACAATATGTATTTCACTTATTATTAAATCAGAACATTATTCTCCTTTTATATTAAAATTATTTGAATTTAAAAATATTGATATTATTAAAATTTTATTATATCATTTAAAAAATAGTAATAATCCAAAAATATTTATTACTAATCAAAATATTCAACTTGTATTATGCGAATTAATTAACATTGACGATATGGAAATTCGTAAAGACGTTAAACAAATATTAGCTATTTTATAAAACTATGTATAATCGATTTATTGTTAACCACAGATTTTTTTTTATTGTTTCAAATTTAATTTAATTAATAACAATTCAGAATTACTCAGCACTACTAACTACCTCTTCTTCTAACTCTTTCATTTGAATTGGAATATCAGCACTTTCAGAACAATCAACATGTTCTTCAAAAAGAAGAGTATATACCACTTGTCGTTGTTTTGCACCAAAAAATGAACCTTGAATTTCATCATCGATTGCATTAGAATGTTTAACTTCTTCATTTAAACGATGAAATTGACGAAGTAATAACCCATATACCATTTCTCTGAATTTCTGAAATTCATCAATCATTTGTACGTAAATTGGAGAATAAATTTGACCATGTAAAAGACAAAGTCTTACAAGTACCATTAATTGTTCAACAACTCTTTTTTGTGCATGACATGCGTCATATACAATTGAAGTTGGATCTCTAGAGGTATTAATTCTATAAAATATAATTAATTTTTGAATAAAATTTTCTATACGAATAAAAAGTTCTTTTAAAGGATTAAATAATTGAACATCACGTTGTTTAATCTGAAATTGATTTACCTATTTATTAATTATTTTTATTTAATATAAAACATTAATTTAAATAATAATAACAAACAAATTTACTAAAAACATTTGGATGAAGATATGAAGCAGATAATAAATGTAAAAATTTACTAAACACCATTAAGAAATCTTTTGAGTGCATTTCAATAAAATCACTATAATTTGTTTTTAATCTATAAATTCCTTCTTTAATAATTTTAGATAAACCATCTTTATAAATGCAATATATACACGGATTTTCAACAGTTATTCCACTCTCATCCCTAATAACAAAATTATCATTTTCCATACTACATTGATAAATAAGAAAATAATCATTATTACTATTGATTGGATTTTCTTTAATAACTATAGAAACAATGTTCCACATTGATAAAACAGTTTTAGAATAATCCCAATATTTTTCTGTACGATATGTTGGTTCAAAACTTAATACTTCTGCTCTTTCAATATATGATTCTAACCCACTATTAAAATTAATAAATTGACATCTAAGAAATTCTTTTGAATGTTCATCCGTAATTAATCCTTGTATTAATCCAATAAAATTAATTACTTTTGTTTTAAATATAGTTATTAAGTCTTTTAATCCTTCTAATGAAACAGTATCACATGCCATTCTAATATTATAGAGTAGATTTGGTACTTCATGAAATAATGGTTTTAACTGATTCATTATATCTTCTTTAGGTATTGTTGTATTTATTGGAATAGACTCTAAACTCAAACCATTTAACCATTTTCTAAATTCATCTAATTCTACAACCCATTTATCTTCATCTGCTTCAATAATACATTCTAAATAATGTGATATTGATTTTCTAAGTTCATCTATACTTTCTTCTATTGATTTCTTTTTCATATACAGATGATATAATAAATTTTGATAACAATTTAATGTTTGAAGACAGTTAACATAAATTGAAGTACGTAATGCTGTTGGTGGAATTAACAAAATAAAGTTAACTGAAAAATGAATAGCCACTTGAAACATTCTTGTCATTTTTCTAATGTTGCAATAATTAGGGAGAAGAGTTGTAGAATCTCTCCATGTAGCTTGATTTATAACAAATGAAAGAATCGATTCAAGAATTTCTTTAACTAATGATATATATTGATTGATGTTAAACATTCTCCTATTAGGACAGTCAGGTACAACAAAGTCTTTATAAAATTTCATATCTAATAATGTCTGTAATACCATTTGATAATTATTTAAAACAGAATTTAATTGTTCTTTATAATTTTCATTAAATTCATTTGGAGTAATTAGTGTACCAATTTCATTAAAATTAGATTTTGAACATTGCTGCATATCAGTAATAAGAATTGGAACTTTTCCTTCAATTTGAATTCTCTTACAACAAAGAGATAACATATCAACTGAAACTATAAGAGAGTACTCAACATTAACTTCAGATATTGCTGATTTTACTGTAGGACATATTGTATTTGGGACTGTGATTTCAAGTGAAATAGGTTGATTAATTCTAATATGATCATCATGTTTTCTATTTTGTGAGACTCTTTGTTTGATTAAATGATACGATAACGTTGAAAAATAAATAATAAATTAACAAACGTAATAACAGCCATTTCACCAGTACTTCTATTTGTAAATGTTCTTACTAACGACATCAGTAACGGTAGTTGAACATCTTTTTCTGCTGACCCTTCTAACAAATAATTAACACGAAGATTTTGTCCAAGAGAATATATATCTCTTTCAAGATTAACAGACAGAGAATACCCTTCAGCAGAAAATTCATGTCGTTTAGTAAAATATGATAACCCACTAAGATGTGGATAAAGCATATCAACAATAATATGTTCTTCTAATTTTTTTTGACTAAAAAATGAAGTGGTTTTTGCTTTAACAACGGTTGCAATGAATCGGTGTTCTATTGATACACAATCATTTTTGATTGTTGGAGGTAAATCAATAGGAACAGAAATATGAAAGGGAAATTCATCTCCATCTTTTATAATAAATGGTTCACTTGATGATTTAATAACAACAGTATGTTGATGAATCGTTTTTTCTATTTTTTCATTTTCTTCTAAAACAACTTCGACGCAAACATATGCAATTGTAGTAGTAACAACCATCAAATTATGTTTAGTTTCAACTATAAATTTCCCATCTACCATTTGACCAAGAAGGAATTGATGAGAAGGAAAAACGAATTTGATGGTAGGTGGCATTCAAGTAACAAAAGAGTAAATTAAACTTTTAAGTTAAAATTTAAATTTAAAGAAGGGGTTTGTTTCTTAATAGAAATTAGTCAAAAAAAATTAAAATTTCCTTTTTTGTCAATTCCCTTTCTTAATACTTTTTTCAATCACTTACTAAAACTAAGATAACTAACTTAATGGTATCTCTTATTTATAATAATCATTTTTCAACCTTTCACTATAAATAATCTTCTTTTTAATCAAAATAATAATTGATAAAATCAAATGATATTTACAAAACATATCTGTTAAAATTCAAATTACATTTGCAATTATCCATCTCTCCACTGATATCCACAATCAAAATTAGCACATTTATAAAAGGTTGTCATTGGTTCATCAGCTGATCGGATTTGAATTTGCATGAAATAAGCAGAGTTATATCCACACTTTTCACAAATAACTAAATAATAAGTATTGATAATTGATTGTACACCAATAATTGATATAACAAACTTTCAGTTTTTTGAGCATTTTTCCATTGTTCTTCACCTAACACAGCATCAATTTGTTTTCTTTTTAGTTCTGACTCATATACAATTTTTTTATTAAATGTAAATTTATAAGGACAAGTACTGCATTTAAAATATAATTCAGTTCCTCGTTCAACAACCAATAAATTACCACAATTAGCACAGAAGAATGTCATGAAATGATATATTTTAAAACTAAGAAATAAGAAAAAGGGTTTTTATTTATTTTTTTAACTTCAACTTTGAAATATATTAAAAAAAAATAAAAAACCATTTAAAATAAATAACAAAAAAAAATCAATCACTTTTTAGAATAAAAGCTTTTCAATTTCATCTTTCATTGTTTCAACAGATGGTGCTGATTTTCCTTTATCATTAATAATTGCAACCGCAATAACATCTCTTGAAACACCACATGCTCTTCCAAGAGCTGCTTTTGATCCTACAAATACATAAGGAACATTTTTATCTTCACAAAGAATTGGAAGATGTAAAACAATTTCAATTGGTTTAGTATCAGCAGCTATAATAATAATATCTGCCTTTCCTCTGTTAAGTGCTTTTGTTGCTTCATTTGCTCCTTTCTTAACAAACCCATTTTGTTGAGCTTGTTGAACAAATTCAATTAATTTGTTTTGAAGTTCTTTCTCTGCAAGTGGAAAAATTTTAGAATTACAATCAGCCTATTCATATAAACATTAATTCATTAGAAAGAAAAGGGGGTTAGAAGAAAAACAAAACTGTTACAAACCATTGGATCACTAGTTTCCTTCACCAAGTGATTTTACAAAGTTATTATTTACCCTTTTTATTTTTTTTAATAGTAAATTAATAATTTATATTATTAATAATTTATTATTATTATTCTATTGTAATAAATAATTTAATTTATTATTTTATTTATTAATCTTGAAAAAATTTGTTTTAAACATCATTTATATCTTTAATAGTTTTATTCTTAATTGTTTTATGACAGATTACGTTTCTCTTACTTTTGTTAACAATGACTTTCCACCAGGTGCAGAGTTTCAAAAAAAAAAATTTACACCACCAAAGTCTTATACATGGACTGATGTTAAACAAGAATTAGAATCAGCTTATTGTATTGAAAAATCTTGTATTCATCTTTTTTGTGAAAATCAAGAATTAGACAATCATAAGACAGTAAGTAGATATGATAAAAAAGAAATTGGTTTAAGAATTGATACAAAACAAAACGATGAAGGAGATACTATTGTATTGTATGTTATTTCTTTACTTGACTCATCAATTAAATATTCAGTTACTTGTAAAAAAATGGATGTAATAGGTAAGGTTAAAGAATCGGTTATGCAACGTGGAGTATTGGTACAACCTAAACAATATATTGCATTATATTATATGAATGAAAAAAATGAGCCAACTGAATTATCTGATTTAGACATTATTCAGTCATTACAAATGCATTCATTTCAACCACTTTATTATTTAGTTACAGAGTATAATGAGATAACTGCTAAATTAATTGGAAAAGGAGAAATAACAATTAAACTTAAATGTGAAAAACAAGTCATTGAAACTACAGTTTCACAACAAACAACATTTATTCAATTAAAAGAAAAAACAGCAGAATTATTTAAATATGACATTAATAACTTTAATATAATTTTTGCAGGAGCTGAAGTAAATGATGAAGATACATTATTCAAAAAGA